TCAACTGTATCAAATGCTGCACTGAGATCCAGCAAAACTAAAACTGACATTTTTCCACTGTCTGTATTCAGACATATGTCATCAATAAATCATGTGATGATGGAAATTCTTTTAAACTGCTGTGACTTTAAGAGGCCAGGGAGGAGCAGCATGTTGGCTTGCAACACCGGGGTGTGTCACAGGCAGACCTCCTTTAGTTAGTCACAGAAGATTTGCTACTGTTTACGTACACTGCCTCTATTGGTGGTTTGTGCTCGAGTGGGAGGAGGGGGCGTTCCAGATAAAACTACCGACTGGGAACTCGGAAACAGCTGTAGTGCCTTGTCACGCTATTTGCACCATGTCTGCTGCCGAGTGGAAGAAGAAGTGCGAGGAAGAGTGGAGCCTGCAGAGTGCACCGATGCCCGATGGCCTGGACTGGAAGTCCGTGTATGAAGCCAAGCCCTTCGGAAGAAATTTACTGATGAACCCTGCGCCATACGGTACCATATCACTGTTACACACGCTACGCTTGTTGTTTTGCTGTCTCTCCCTTATCCACAGAAAGTTTGGATTACAGACAGATGACATGTGTTGCACACATTTATGCTGGTGTGAATTCATCCCTCCAGTATTAGCGGGATTAAGTTAATAATTAATTCATTGTCTTTGGTCATTTACGGAAAAATGGATCCTGAATGCACAGACCCCTCCCCTAACTTGTTTTTGAGTACCTGTGTGCAATCTGACTAATGCAGAAGTGGAGAAGGGGGGAAAAAAAACCTGATCTTCAGGAAGTTGATGTCTTCATACTTTAACTGGTGCTGTTTGGGTGTTTAGCATTCAGCATATATACTGTTGGTTATGTAGCGATATGTTTACAAACAAATAGATGCTTTGGGTATAGACATCGGAGACACTGACTTTAAGTCCGCTAAGCCAGTATTCTGCTGCACACAACAACTAAACTAGTTTGTGAAATGCATTGCTAACAAGTAAATGAAAACACAAACCCATCAAAGCATACAAAGTTTATGAAACGATGCCAATAGACACAAGTGCACATCCAACGGTCAGAAATGGAAGCTTGTGTTATAAGATAAGATAACCTTTATTAGTCCCACACGTGGGAAATTTGTTATCTCCTCGAAACTGCGGCCACATTCAGCTTCATATACAGACGGAACAAAAGTTCCTGACGCTTCAGCAGCTGTACTTTTGATAGTTATGTGAGACATAACTTTACTGAAAACATTAAGCATTGAGTTAAACCTCCTCGTCATTTAAACAGTGCAGTATGCTGTTTTTAAGAAAGGAAGAAAACAGATCAACTAAAACGGCTGCTGTTTTTTTGTTTTGTTTTTTGCCTTGTTGTATAGAGCGCTTTGAGTACTCCGGGAGCGTAGAAAAGCGCTATATAAGAATCTGTCCATTTACCATAAAGATTAGATGTGAAAAAGCTTTTATGACCCTAAGACAACTGGAAACTGAGGTGTGACTCAGAATGCTGACTTGGTGTGTTTTTACAAAGAGGCACGCCCAGTGCTTGTCAGAAAGATAACTCTTTGTCTGTGAGCTGTGTATACTGGGATTACAGTGGCCAACATTGTCTCTTATTCCCTACACAGGGTTGAGTAAAGACATCCCACCACCTGAACCCGAACTGCCTGCCGTGCCTGACCGCGGACCTCCACGATTTCAGCCTGATGGTGAGGGACAGGAGTGACGTTAGCCAAAAAATGAATCAAATCAATGTGGTTTCATGACTAATCTCTGAATCCCCAGGCAACTTCACTGGTTGGACCACGAATTCGGAGGTCCTGCCCTATGATACAAGCGGCATACCTGAAGGTGTTGTGGTGTGTGCATTGCCTCGTTACAGGTAGTTGTTACTTGGGTCAGACATTACCACGATGCTGGGTATAACCGGGATTATCTGCAAACATACTTGTAAAAATGACATTTAAAGAGTGGGTTGCTATATAACCTCTAGTTGTATAATTACAGTGGTAGTAAGTATAACTCTTGTTTGTGGTGGTGTTCCCAGCTGGTTCACCATGGAGCAGGTTGTGGACCTGAAAGCAGAAGGACTGTGGGACGAGCTGCTGGATGAGTTTCAGCCTGAAATTGCCATCCAAGACTGGTGGGTAAATAAACATAAATACAAACAAAAAATGTAAATAAATTAGTTATAGTTGTGACTGCATCATTTTGGTTTAGTTCAAAGTGAAACGATAGAACCTTTGCACCGAGTGAGTAAAGTGTAAAAGGGCCTAATAATGCTAACAGAGTTTGCATTGTCAAACAAGTTAAACAGGAGCAGTGTACCAATACCAGAGCCAATCCATATGAGCCTTTACCTCTTCTCCAAAAAATGTCAGCAGTTCCTTCAGGGACACAGCAGAGGGCGCTTGCAGGCTAGTCCTCAGTGAATAAAAATGAATGAAACTGAACAGCTAAACTAAGGATGCACAACTGCTTCTAGACAAAAAGGTCACACATTATGTTACTTTTAGCAAAAACTGTAATAAAAGGACACTTAATGTACACACACTGGCTACTTATTGATCTGTTAAGGAGTTGCGACATCACGCTCCTCAATTAATAGCATTCATTTCCAAATGGTTATTGGTCAACAGAGACCTGTGTGTTTGTGTGTGTGTTTCAACAATCTGCTGCTAGAAATTCCCTACTGCTGCTTGTTTCATGCATGAAGTCAACACTGTAGATGCTTTTTTTACTACAGTCAAAAGTAGAAAAGCAAAACGAAACTGAACTATATGCATTCTTCTGTTAGCAATGTGATTAAAAACTGACAGGAAGAAAAGCTCATCCCATGACATGTATATTTTGGTCTCTCTTGAACACCCCCTATTAAACTGGAAGTCTCAGTCACAAAGGTTATTGGACAATACCAAGTGCTAGTCCTAGCTAAAACCATCAACATGGTCATTGTGCATCTTTCGGATCAACCTACCCTCACCAGCCACTTTAAGTGCACTGGCCAAACTTCACATTAACGCAAATACGTAATCAAGCCAGTCACACGGCAGTAAATCAGTGCATTGGGATGGGGGGAGGGGAGGATTCAAGTAATTTTGAGCATGGAATGGTTTATGGTCCTCGGCATACTGTTTTAAGAATTTCACAAACCGCTGATGCCCTGGGTTTCCCACACAACCAGCGGTAGGTTTTACAAAGAATAACGAAATATCCAGCAAGCAGCAAGTCTCTGGGTTGATGTCAAAGGTGAGGAGATGGACATAATGCTTCGAGCTGTTAGGAACTACAGTAAGTCGATTTACCAGTTTTTAAAACCAAGGTATGCAGAAGAGCATCTCTGAACGTACAATGTGCTACAGTTCTCTTAAGACTCTTCAGGGTCATAGTCTTAGGATCAGAATTTGGCATTAACAAAATAAAAGCATTGATTCATCCTGTCTTATATCAACAGTTGAGATGGACAGTGGTGTAATGGTGTAGGGAATATTTTCTTGCCACACTTTGGAGCCCTTTTTCCCCAACACTAAACATAATTAAAATTCTACAACCTACCCAAGTATTGTCACTGACCATGTCTAACATTTGTATGTGTATTGTACCCATCTTCTGACAGCCGCTTTCATCCCTCAATCTGGTTTCTTGAACATGACAATGAGTTATCTGTAATCAAATGGCCTCCACAGTTACCAGAGTTCAAATACAGTTAAGGAATGTTGTAAAACAGATGTTTTGCATCGTATATGTAGAGCCAACAAATCTGCAGCCACTGCGTAATGCTGTCATGTCAGTGTGGACTAAAACCTCTGAGGAATGTTTTCCCAGAATCTTGTTGAATTACCACACAGACTTAAGTTGGTTCTGGAAGCAAAAGGGGTTCTTATGCAGTACTAGCAATGTGTATGCAATGATTGTTGTACAAGTTGAGACAATAAAGAGATGAACTCCAAGTTTAAAATGCTTGAATTGACACATGCGTGGCTTCTGTTTGCATGCCAAAAAGGAAGAACAAACAGACTCTCCCAACTTCACATATATAGATGTGTTTCCACTTAAGTGACTGAGCTAGATTAAGGCCCCCTTTGTCCCCTTACACTACAGACATCCTGGTGCCAGCATAATAGCACTCATTCCCCCGAAGGTCCCAGATATTTATACTATTTGTGAATATAAAGACATTCCACAAGCCTGAAATGTGTATATGAGTGTATAGTAATCTGCTCTGAACAATTTAATCACATCACATACAGAAAATGTCTTTGAAGTTTTTAGGAAAATCTAAGTGTGTCATGTTATCAGGTATGAGGAGAGTCAGCTGCATGACTCAATCTACCAGCTGCATGTGAAGTTACTGGGTGCGGATAAAAACACAGTGATCTCAGAGCACACAGTCAACCCCACCGAGCAGCGACTGGTTTACTCTCACGAATGGAAAGAGGTGAGACTCTCATTTCTTTGCCACTACAGTGCACAGTGCTGTATTCCAGCATTTCAATGTACACATCTGTCTTGGCCTGCAGGTGTCACATGTGTTCTCCGGTTATGGACCCGGCGTGAGATATGTCCACTTCTTGCACCGACTGAAGAACAGCTTCCTAAATGGTTTCCACAATACACAGTTCACTGGCAGTGCAGTGATTGTACGACCAAGCAAAAGCAGCCCGTAGGCTAAATCTTACAGTGCAGCCATATCTGATAATGCACTCAGTGTAATCAGTTTCAGCAATATGTAACTGCATTTACAAAGGTTGTCATGATAATAATATAATGATGGACACAATCATCAATATTTGATTACTGGTTTTATGGGAGGCATGGAGGTGGGCCAGGAGGTGTAATTCACAGTTTTTTCTGAAGATTCTGATATGATGCAATAATAAAACATACAGTTTTCTGGTTTGAGAGTTGATCATTTCTTTTAAGTATTTACATATTTGGGTATTTAAAATATTAGATATGTTTGTGCTGTGTGTAAAACACTAACCATGCACTCACTATTTTTACTATGTCAGGAGGTTTTATGAAATTCTTCTTGATGAAGAGCTTATATTTATGATTTATAAATATGATTTATGATCATATTTGAATGTAAAACGTGTTCATTGCAGGTTCTGGTAAGAATTATTTTTCCCAAATCTTTCTTGAAATTACAATGTTTTAATAATGTCATCCATCAGGTTTTTTTTTTAACCACTTATCTCCTTACAGCTCGGGGCAGGTCTTCAAGGATAAGGACAAACATAGTCCAACATTTTCTAAAAATCTGTTATTCATTCATTCATTCATGATAAAGGCAGTATATTTAAGATTCATTAGTTATTTTTATGCCACATCATAAATATCTGTTCCACATAACACCTATCACTGAAGATATAACATTACCTTTGTGATCAGACTGTCATATTAGAAGTAATGCAAAGGTTAAGTACAAATAAACTAATTTATATTTAAATCTTTACATTTGCTTTGTTTAATGGTTACATAACAACAAAGCATCCAGAATGGTGACCATACTGTACTCTTAGTAGCCTTTTGTTTTCTTTCCAGTGGTGCTTTCTGATTAGAAGTGATGACGGATATACTTGGATTTTTACTACGAAGAGCTCTGTGCATGTTATAATATGAAAAATATTAACAGTGGCCTTTTTAGAACAAACAAATATACATTAATAGCAATTAACTAGAACGCTTTTCAGACCAGAGTAAGACTTTATTCTGCCTGAAACTCCTAACAAGAGCTTACAATGTCATTAGTTCTTGCCACACAATTCTAATAAACTGTATTTCAGCACATGAGCAGATTCTACCCACAAATATAAATATTAGAAGGACAAAAAGTGGGGTTTTAAAAAATTCTGGGAAGGAAGCAAGCCTTCAGGAGAGCACGGTAGCATCAACGTCTCATTTGTGCATTTTAATCTGCTTAAGATGCGTTCAGGCGCTCTCAAAAATTATTACATAAACAACGACGTTAACCAGATTTATGTGGCGGGAACAAAGTCTCTTTGACGTTTGAGGTCGTGATTAATATATATTATTTCCAGTCTCAGAAACCTTTGCTCTTGATCCACTTTAAAAGCGTACAGTCCAAAACACGATCTCGGGAGGAGACCCTGAAGGCAGCACGTCACGAGCCGCGTGGGCTCGCAGCATCACCACCTCTGTTAGCCACAATGTGAGTTAACGACAAAGTTCACTTTGAGAGTTCAGCCTGCTGTCGACGCCGGGAAAGTTTAACCAGGACGCGTTTCTAGACTTTCTGAAGCAATGGCAGCCTGTGGTGGAGAAGTCCCATAAAGCATAAGGTAAGACACGAAGGGAAGGGATGGCCAGCGAACAGGTGCGGCGGACAAACCGCGGTTGTGGCGGGCTGCTAGAGGCTACGCCCTCGCGATCCATGTACAGTTTTGATAGCTAACATGAAATAGGGCCGGGGTCACTACGCTGTTACAAACCTAATGACTTTAGTGGTTAAGCTGTCAGTCACACCAGTGAATTATTTATCTATGTAATTATTTTCTATTATAGAAAAAAAGTGAGGTTAAAAGTTGACCGGGATTTTTAAAATTTAAAAGCAATCTAGCGTCAAAAAGGAATGGGTTCGGGAGGGAAATAGTAAGCGGTGTGTGGCCGGTAAAAACAGGAATATAAACATTATATAATGAAGACAAGTACCTCTAGTCCGTATTTATTAAGCCCATAATCTTTACCGTATATTTGCGTTATATAGTACAACTGGAAAAACATCTAGATGGATCATCACTGGTAGCTGCAAGTAAATGTTTGATGAGTGCTTGAAAACGAAATCTAATCTGCTACAGCTCCACCACATGTGTGCATTATAATTCATACAAGAACCTACTTACTCTCCTTTACTGTCCCATGAGTCCAGGATGCTCAGAGAATGTGTGTTTGTGTGTTCCCGATGGACATTCAGAGGTTTTATATGTTTTATTCAGAAAGATCGCCCAGCTTCGTCCCTGACATTTCATTCTGATAAGGGCTGGACTTCAGAGCTGACATTTAACTGACAGATAAACACTGTTCATTTAGCAGATTGGCTTCACACAGTATCCCCACTCACTCATCTCTTGTGTCCGCCACAGCCCTGGCTGGCCATCGGTGTGTTAAGAGTTGCTGATGTGTGAGACAGGAGGCGCTGACTGCAGATACATCCCTAGTGCTGGTTCATTATATTTGCTTAGAGAGATTATATCAGTTATATCACTTTTCAGACGAGGATCCAAAAAAGCACTATGATTATTCATTTTCTCTTTGTAGTTTTTTGGCATACACTTATCTCTTCTGTTGTAATATCTATAGAGCTTAAATCCACTCCAATCAACTTGCAAAAAAGGTTGATGTTACACTTTGGGTGTATTTGAAACAATTAAATATTATGATGCAATGTCACATTTAAAGAGTCTTTGTAATGAGGAATTCAATATTAGGGATGATTATTTATTTGAGGCATGCTGACATATAGATATTGAATATCAGTACCACGACATATATCAGTGCTAGTGGCTAATGTCAATCTGTTGTTGCTTTGTCTTTCTGTCTGAACATTCAAAAATAGTGTGACGATGAGCCGAGTGACCCTGTTATGAGAACAGACAACCAAAAATATCCTCATCAGCATCAACTATTGTCGAAATTTTTATTTTATATTAGCCTCATAGTTAGAGCGTTGACGACTACCCACCTCAGCACTCGGGGTCCCTGCTCTGTAACTTGTTGCTATGGTAAGAGTTGATTATGAATGTATATGAAGTAAGACATTTATTTAACAGACCTGTTGCAACTGTGGCACCCTGTTACAGTGCCATGTTCAAATTCAGTGAACTCTATAGACCTGTTCATTCACAAGTGTTTATTCAAGCAGATTGCACAATTAGGTGCTTGAGTCCATACACATGTGCGATGAGAAACACCTGGATTAAAAGTGGTATGGTCTCATGCTTTTTCATTCTTTGTCAGTTCTATATTTTTTAAACAATTGTTTTAGTTAAAGCCCAGTTTTCATGTTGTTTGCAGACAGACCGTTGCTGTCTTGCTTATGTGTGATATCTAAGCACAGGGAAGACAATATGTGTTGGGGGTTCAGGAGGTAAATCTAAGTAGTCTACCACTAAAGCTCACTGACACTTATCCTGAAATGCAAGCTCCTTCCCACAGACTCACATGTATGTGAGCGCTCAAGTAAACCAATGCGGCAGCATTAGGTGCAGTCACCCATATGTGCACCATTCGTGAGTGCCAAGGGACAATGGGCTATACTACACCTTACATTTCTCTCATATTTCACATGCGATTCCCCTGCATGTTAATCTCCAGGATTAAAGAAAACCAGGGTCAGGGTCTTATGGATGATACTTCTTTTTGAATTAGATTGGCTTACCTTGTTTGGATATCAGTTGTTGAATAGTGCAACAGTATTAATGAGCCCAGTAAACCTCTGCCACATAAATCACAAGTGAACAATTTCTGTTTATTTTGAACTTGTTAAGCTTGCTGTGATGTATAGTATTTATCAGTTTCTCTGTGAGTTCGTGTGATTGATGGGAAAAGGAGAGTCGGTGCGTATCAGGGTCTGTTTTGTTTTCATTGACTCGCTGGTCTATTGTGTTTGCCAGCCTGCTGGCTGCCTCTGCACATTTTGTTGATCTGAACCAGGTTGTTTTCCTGAATTAACATGTTGTGACTTTTATCCTTCACACAGTGAAGGATAAAAGTCACCTTTCAAACAAAAAAAATAAGTTTGTAGCTTGCTGTGTTTCCATTCCCATAATCTATGTTAGACTTCAGGCGACTGTGTGATGTCACCCAGTTAATGAACAGTACAAGTAACGTATTCACTTATACTGGGTAATAAGTAGAGATTCTCTCTTGAATGAGTTACAGCAAAGGGGGGGAAAGGAGTAGAGATGGCTTACAGGGGTAAGGTGCTGATCGTATGTATCTGAGCTATTATTTTGCACAGCCATCAGTATGTATTTGTATATTCAGTCCACTGTTTATGTTTATGACAGTTTCCTGAATATTGCATAACAGGTGTCCCTGTCTGGGTTCATACTGAAGCTGAGAGTGCTGTTCCTTCTAAGGTGACAGAGCCAGTGGCTGAGCAGGCTGTCTCAGGTAATGGAAACCTCAGGAGCCGCTGTCTGCTGGCTGTCAGCCGCTTGTCTCCCGACCTCTTTTCTGTCCGCCCTCACCTCCGGCCCCATGCTGACTTTCTCTGTCCACCTGCCTTATCTTTTTACAGTGAGGTACACGTGGAAGTCCCAGGAAAAGCAGCTGTGTACGTTTCTTTTTTTTTTTTTTAAACACAGGCACAATGAGTCTAGAGAGAGAAACAAGAGACGGAAATGGTTTAGAGATGTCGAATGAATTGTTTATCTCAGAGTCAAACTGATTAGAGAGGAAGAGAGACGTTAAACTCTGTAACCCTTCTTTAGTCTGACAGTATGCAACTAAAGCTGCTCTGGATGTGTACACACACATATATATATGTATATATGTATATACATATATGTATGTGTGTGTATGTGTGTGTGTGTATATATATATACATATATATATATTAGGGGTGCAACGATACACAAAATTCACGGTTCGGTTCGGTTCGATACTTTGGTGTCACGGTTTGATATTTTTTCGATGCAAAAAAATGTTCATCCCTTTTTAATTTGTCATTTATTAAAATTATAAATATATATTTTAACTCAAAAGAACAGTTTTTAAATTTAATGTTGCTGAAACAACAAAATAATAGTAAAAAATAAATCTATCTGATCGAGGAATCCCTCATCTTTGGAAAAGAGAGTTTATTACAGAGAAATGGCTCTTTCCAAAATAAAAGCTATACTATACGCTTCTTCTGGGCTATATTCTCAGCAGCATATTAAACATATCAGGTCCCCATAAGGAGAATCATGTGCTAACGGCTGTCTAAATGACTCGGGTAAAGTTTGTAGCATGCGTGCTTGTTGTTTTTGTCTGCTTCCACTTGTCTTTGCACTAGGATGATGTCGGAGTAAATGTGCAGTCATATTCGTTGTGTTCCCACTAGTGCTGTCAGCGTTAATCTGAAATCATGTTAACGCCACAACACAGCAAATCTCCGTTAACGAGTTACCGCGGATCGCCCCGTACGTGGGGCTGGACGCCGTCAACACGTTAACAAGCTAACCATTACGGCAAGGCTGGGATGGTCAGTTTGGTAAAGTAAAATCCGTTGGGTATCTTTCTTTGCCTTTAGACAACAATTCTGATGGCAAAAGAGCCAAACGGGACAGGCCAAAAAAAAAAAAAAAAAAAACAAGCTAACTGCGCTAACGCACTAGTTCCCACCAATTGAGCATTGCGTGGCACATCCGACATACTGTTTTACTTTTGTCCATGACGCGCTTACCATCAGGGTCATGCTTCACATGAAAACCAAGATAGTTCCAAACGCCAGATCTGAATGAGGGTGGGGGAGGTTCAATTTCGGGTAGCGTTGAGGCAGTTGCCATGTTGCAACGAGCTTAGCTTCTGTCTTGCTAGCTTGCGCTGGCTCAGTGGATCTGCACTCGACAGTGCAGATCCACTGAGCGCTCAACACAGACAGCATCGTCAGAAGAAAAGTTGATAAATAAATAAAAATTTGTATTGTTGATAATTATATATATATATATATAAATATATATATATATATATATATATATATATATATATATATATATATATATATATATATATATATATATATATATATTATTTTTTCTTGGTTTTTTTGTTCAGTTGAAATTGTGGCATGGTGTTTACACAGAGATTAGAATTAATAAAGATAGTGTAGCAGATCAGTTAATTTTAATTTGTCATAATAATACTGTCTGGGTACTAAAATTCCAAACTTTATTTGCAATCATCATGTTGAAGTAATATAGGACATTCAGTAATGTCTGTGAACTGTTTTTTTTCTGCAGCTGAATAATAATAAATATAATGTGTAAGTGTAAAAGAACAAAAAAAAAACCCTTGGATTTGGTGCTTTTTTTAATGAAGGATGAAATTTATACACACTGATTTAAAATACACATATTCTCATTTAAGTTATTCATTCAGCTGCAGGATTAAAGCTCGAAATGTCTTTCAGTTTGTCAAGACCACTTAATTTCGTCTGACTGCAAAAGATTGCTTCTTCTTGCCGACGCAAGGCATTTGTGACAGCATTTGTTGGACCGAGCAACACACAGTAAAAGTGGGCATCCCAAAGAGCTCAGTGCAGATCTGAGAAGATGACAGATTGACACAAACAGTA